TATTGGGACAGCAAAGCCAATGGAAGGCCTTTGACATGTGGTCTCAACTTCTTTTGAGTTGTGGATCTTTTAGGTGAACTGTTCTGGTAGGGAAGAAAATAGTTGGCAAACTGTATGTCAGAGTTGCAAATTAATCCTCATTATGGTCAACAGCATTGGAATTGTCAGTCATCCTCTTAACTTTGCACATGAGGCATTTGGTTGCCTTAGGCTGAAGGTGGATCAACATGCTTTCCTTTTTGTGTTCAAAAATATTCATCACAAAGCCCTTCTCCCCAAGATGAGACAGAGCAGCCCTTATTTATCTTCTCCTAACCAAGATAACATGTCATGGGAGAGGAGACTCTGAAAAGGCATTGGGCAGAAGGATTAGAAAGCAGAAGGGTTCCAGTATCAATAGCTAACAGCCAGCTAAGTTGCACTAACCAGTGGTGGAAGTCAAGACATGCCAGGAATTAACTAATTGGCCTACAAAAGGAAGTAATAGTGAAGAAAAATGAGACAATGAATCCAGAAGGGGAAGTTTAAGATTTTTAACCACATTTTGGAAGGTGCTATTTGTAGGAAGAGGAAAGCAAATGTAGTATTAAAGACAGTATAAGGCGAAAAGTCTTTCAGTTTAAGTGCCTGTGGCTTCCACACTCTTACAGGTGGCGTGTGAACAAGCACCCGAAGTAGTATAAAGGCTAGGAATATCAACTGCTGGCTTGCAGGGTTAGTAATCAAATATTCTCCTTTACTTCAAAGCATGGTTATATAATAATATGATGTGTATGCCAATAGTACACCTAATACCCTGAACTGAGTAATAACCTGAGGAACAGGATCCAGAATTGTGGCTTCTACAGTCAGCTCTACTATCAGAGATTCACTGAATGACCTTGGACCAGTCATTGCTCTATATCCAGTTATTCAACAGTAAAACCAAGAGTACACTGATCTCTCTGTAGTTATGTATCCCTTAACTAGCTTTATTAACCCCTTTCATTATGGAGTTGTGGACATACAAAGAGTTACTTTTATGCTAATTAATTTATTCTAATAGCTGCTATCCAATATAATAGGAGAGTCATTAGTACTTCCCCCACCAGTAACTCAAGTTGACTGATAGGAAAAAGAAGTACGTATGCTGTGGGTTCCCGTCCATACAGAGAATAAAATTATTTTTATTGTAATGCTTTGGGAGACCCTGTACATGGGGTAGTATAGGACTACTATTTTTTATTAGAGAATCTTGGGCAGTAATCTGTATTACAAGGATCTGAGGATCCAGAATCATGAATTAAACAAAAATGGGAAGCAAACTAAGGTGGTAGCAGGAGGAGTGAGGAGAGGAATTGTATAGCACTGCATTGGTTGTGCTACTTGTAGTGCATAGTGGTGAAAAGGTTCCCATGACTACTATAAAAGCAGTTATCTCTCTTTGGTTTATGATTCTCAGCAGCAACAGTTCAAACCACACAGCTTCCCTGAGAATGAAATGATTATGAAATAGGCACTACAAACTTGATGCCTGGTCAGCCTACACACAGTTATCCTCTTGAGTTTCTATGTACCTTGAGAAGGGAAGTATTTACCTAAGAGAATAAAAGTTCAGAGGAAGATGGTTTTCTCCRGGAGTCAGAGTAAGTTCTGTCTTCATGGGTTTGAAGTTAGGCAGAAGGGAACTGTGCAGCTTTGTATTAATGCTGGCTCTGACTCTGTAAGATAACTGGTTGCCTTACCAGGACAGACTATAGAACGCTGCCCGCAGCTCAGCAGAAAGGATAGCCCATCACACAAGTATATTCAGAAAGGATACCCTCCACCAGCAAGTTGCTCAGGAGCAAACTCTCCATGAACTCTATGGAAAGGAAGATAAATAAGACTGCCTGGCTCTGCCCTTSAAGAATCTGCATGCAAACTGACTTTATGAGTTCAGACAGGTCACTGCTTCAAGGTGACAACTCTACAAGGATAACAGTTTGAATGAGCTGGTGTACATCTGGGCATGTTTAAGCAACTAAGTGATGATATAGTGCCAGATATACAAAATACTGACAAAGCTCTGACAAGAATTTCCTTACTATGGTTCACAGTCATGTGTCTTTCATTGCAGAACTTACTGACATAAGCCAACCCCAAATCAGCCAGAACCTATTTGAACCTGTAAAGAGCAAAAAAGGGAGAAGATAAACCATCAAATCAGCACTAAAAGCTGAGGAAATCAGATCACAGTTGATCACAGTTTCTGCAGCTGCTTGACTAGGTCAAAGGCCTGGACCTTCCAGGGAATTAGAGAAACCGATCCCTGAGATATTCCACATTAAAGTGGCATATGACCCCCATAGGTCACAGTTGGACTATACAATTTCAAATGGAAAGAGTGATGAAAGCTCTTGTCAGAAGGGGCTGGTAATTATCCAACTCTCTGAGATCTGTAATRAGGTTAAAGTACTGCTTACTGTGTGTGTGAGTGTGGTGGGGAGGTGAGGGAAGAATAAACAAACCATACTGTGTGCCACTGGTTCCTAGGCAAAGATTCATAGAAGTTTTCAAAAGCTGAGAATGGTCCTTGGCCAACACATCAAGCTGCAGTCCCTTTACTTGGACACTTGCCAAGGCAACCTGAAAATGCTGCCACAGCATCCAGTTTTAATACACAAAAAGAACTTCCCCTCCCCTTCTCATGTGCTACAGAGCATAATTCAAAATGGAGYTAATGAATTACTTCAGTGGGCTTTGGGTCAAGATTTATAACCACAGAATCAGAAAAACAGGCTAGAAAGGACCTTGAAAGGTCCTCTGATCTAATCCGCTTGAACAGCTGGACTGGACTGACCTGTCCAGAGCTGCCTTTAAAAGATCTACGGGACAGATGGTTTCTTCGGTTTCTCCCCTACCTACAAAAGTTGTTAATCTGCGGTAGAGCAAGCTGCATTGGTCYTTAGCAAGTCCATTTTTGAGGCAAGTTGCAAAGCTGTTATCTTACAGACACTAACAAATTATTTATGCATTCCAGAATTTTCCTAGAGCACGAAGATTAATGCTTTACATTTTTTCCTTTCTCGAGGCATGCRCTACATTTCCCATTTTCCAGCCTTCTCTCCATGAGCCATTGGCTATCAGTTCACCAAGTTTACTGAAATCTGTGTCTGCTTAGTCTATTACTTCTGCTTTGCTGTTCTTACACTTCTCCTCCCAAGGACTGCAAGCTGWCAGTCACTATTAGGCAAACTACTCACCACATTCATATTCTTAAGGGACTGTGCCTGCCATCTACAGCAAACTGCAGGCTTCCCTTCCCTCCAGTGGCCTCATCACCTTCTGTACAAAGAAAGTCAGCAACACATTCCCCAAGCTTCCAAACAACAGGCACGCCTGTGCTGGCAGAAGCCCAGGCTCCCCCGCTGCTGTGCGCTGGGTCATTCTGCTTGGTTTTAGTGGTAGCTAGCCAGCAATACAAATAATGGTGCCTCGTTCACTTCCCTTTCAGTAACCACTTGGATTAGCCAGAAAAATTTCTCCTGCTTCTCAAAGCAAGTGTATGCATCCATGACACAAGTCAACATCTCTTCCCGATTGTTACTCCTCACTTGTGCACTAGTGTGTATACTACAAAGCACAAGTCCAGTCATAGTAACTATCCCAACTGCTCTCCTTCGTAAAGTTGTAAGTTTGACTTCCATCTCACCATATTTATTCTTCCCATTTCTCACAAAAGCGCTGAGGATTCACAAGACCAGCCCACTTCCCCTTTTCGCCCTTGTCTTCTGTCAGCCCTTTCTCTCTCAGCTTCTCTGCAATCTAACTTTGCTCTCTTCCCTCCCCTGGAGGGTAACTTAGCAAGCACTTTACTACAAAAGGGCTCAGTTCCACCCACCATGTTCATTAAGCTCCTTTCACTGATTAGACTTTGAGACACAGTGAGATGCTTTTCTCTCCTCTCTAGGGAGGAATAAGAGCCCTCAGTGGCTGCAGACAACTTGCTCACATCCACAAATATTCTCTCACATCAGCTTACAGCAGTAAGGATTCCTCCGTTTCAGAATCCAAGAAGAGGGCAGCACTGAGTTAGATTATGATTACTTAATTTGTTTGCACAATTATTACCCTTTCTGTTGGGCTTTTTGGTCACAAAGGGTAGGTCTCTACTTGTGCAAACAACAGATTCACAGGTTGGATCTGTTGGTATATTTTTGTATACTAATGTTTGATGTGTATGCATTGGAGGGTTTTTGTTTTTTCCCCTGCATTAGCTAATTCCTTGCAGATTAAAAAAATGGCTCTGTCCCACAAGGAGCCACGGCCGTCTAAAAGCCAGCTAGACTCTCACCTCTGCCGTCCTCAGTACAATACTGGAGGACTGGGCAGCACGGTACAGCTGGATCAGGCAAGATCCCGAAGTGAAGCCCTTTAGACTGGAGTCTGGGATGGGGCCAGGGGCTCACGGCCACCCTCCCAGGAGCAGGGAGCACCCAGGCCTCCCCCAGGAAGCGACACTGTCCCCGCCCCCGACCAGCCTCTGGCTCACAGGTCTTGTGCTGCCCCGCGCAGCCAGCACCGCCGAGCCGAGCCGGGCCGAGCCGCCACCCCCGCCCTGCCCGTCCGGCCGCTTCCCCGCGCCGGGCACGTGGGGGGGACGGGCCGCGGGGCGGTGTCCACCGGCAGCACCCGGCGGGGGCGGCGCCGCGCCGGGCACGCTGTGCTGGGCAGTGCTGAGCCGAACCGAGCTGAACCGAGCGTAGTGGAGCTGGACACGCTGTGCTGGGCAGTGCTGAGCCGAACCGAGCGGAGCGGAGCTGCGCACGCTGTGCTGGACAGTGTTGAGCCGAACCGAGCCCAGCGGAGCGGAGCTGAGCACGCTGTGCTTCGCAGTGCTGAGCCGAACCGAGCCGGGCACGCTGTCCCGAGCCGAACCGAGCGGAGCCGGACAGCCGTGCCGAGCGGAGTCGAGGCGGCGGGCGCTCCGACGGCGGCGGGCTGCGCGCAGCATGTGAGCTGCGGCCGCAGGGCGCGGAGGGAAGGACGGCGGCGCCGAGCTGCAGCATGGGGCTCGTCCTGCTCTTGGGGCTGCTCCTCTCCCGAGCCGGTAACGCCGCGGGGTGCGGGCAAGGCCGGGTCTGGATGGGCGGGATGGGCGCTCCCGTCGGGGCCGAGCTGGCGGCTCCCTGCTCCAGGATCTCGGTGGTCGCGCCAGGTTGGCACCTCCTGAACGGTCGCGGCTTCCCATGGCTGCTCCGAGCTGGCAGCGTGTCCCGGGTGGGAGACACTGTCCCCCAGCTCCGGCCATGGCCACCCTGGGGCGCGGGCAGCAGCATTGGAGGCAGCTTTTCCGAACAGGGAACCCAAACTGTCCCTCTGACCCAAAACATGAGTTGCAAATATGGATGTGACCAAAGTGAAGTGATGCCCAGGGTGGAGAAAATGCCTTTCCTCTGGCAAAGAGCTCTTCTSACTCTTGGAGGAGATGACTTTTCTGAGCACATTCCTACCCTACTTCTCTCATTGATGACTTTGCTGAGAGCTCGTGTTTTGCTATCCCCTTCCATGCAGACCTTGGGCTTCTGCAATGTTTCAGGCTAGTAGTTTTCTGTGCTGAGGCTTGTTCTGCAAAGACCAATTCAAGGCGCTCCTGCAAAGTGGCAGCTGTGCATTTAAGCCATTTGTCCTGCCTTAGCACCTACTACTGCCAAATCCCAAGAGTTGAGGTTAGAAATGACTCCTCATTTMATCTTTCATACAGTCTTTGTAGCTCGTGTAACCAGAACACASTGGTTTCCTTTCCTAGGTTAGGAAACTGCTCTAAAGTGCCCATAGACCCTGTCTACAGGATGCCTATGCTTTACCAGTCAAAGCTGCAGTTGCTGCTGCTACAAACTGCAAAATGGACTATTGCACTGAGATCTCAGTAGCAYTTACCACCATGTGATCACCATAGATTTCCCAAAATTCTCATTTCCAAATACTAATGCTTCTTAGTTAATCTGTATTTAATAAAGGAAACGTTTCCCCTCTGCAGTTGTCCTCTCTTGCAATAAATATATGACGAAGTAAAATGAGAAATAAACATGTATTGTGTTAGCTATCCCTTTGTCCCAAGGTGTAAATAATCATGGATAGTGCATATATTAGCTTTTTTCCTTCTATATTTTAATTACAGAAGGTCTGCTATATACACTTTAATGCTTTCTGAAGCCCAGACTGTAGAACATTAATTCTTTTATGAGATTATGTGGAGTTTTAAATACTAAGTAAATATTTTTAATAATGAAATAAAGTGTCACATATTAGGATTTAAGAGAATGCATAACTATTTGAAGGTACTAGGTGAAGTTCCTAGAGGAGAGCTATTCTTAATTTTTCTGCTTTGAGGTTTTCTATAGCTTTACCCAAAGGACCTATTAAGAGGCCTGTGGTAAAAAAATCCACTAACATCCAGATCTGATCTAGTCTGGCAATTACCATATCACTTCAAGGTTTTTAAAATGTCATTTCAAGCTCAGGTACTTGTTAAGCAGAATTCTGAAGGCTTGGAAAGTATGTCCTATTCTTTTATAAACTTACTAYTGAGCTGCTGTAGGTCACAGTTGGAGATGGGACGCTGCTAGAGATGGTACATCGATCTTGCCTGCTGGGGTATATTCGTTTGCTGAGATTAGAATTCCAACCTACTGGAAATAATAGACCAATTAGTGTTGGGAATTTGCATTGTTTGCAACCTCGCAGGATGTAATCACACTCAGTATGGTTATTAAGATAGYGCCTAGGAGTAATGACTAACCAAAACCCATGGTGCTGGGTACAAAACATTTCTGGTGAGAGGTATTTTTTTTCCAGAGCACTTACAAAGTCATACAGTCTGTACATCACATACAGATTAACACAAAGAAGAATCAGTTGTTCTAAAAACCAAGAAATATGTACAAGGCGGAGGAAGACACCTATATAACACTACTGGGCTGCAGGAAAAGTAGAAGCTTTGAGCAGCAGACTAGCATGGAATGGTGTGGGCCACGGCAAATAAGCTATYGAACAGAGAATAAAGCAAGAAAACAAAATAGCTAGTGAAGATAGTATACCAGATAATATAAGTTACATCAAGAKTTTTTTCTAACCTTTAGAGTAGGCAGATTGAAAAAGTAGTACTGTACCTGCTGAAAAAGGAAAAAGATAAGCAAGAACATATATCCAAAGAACATCCAAAGTAGATGATAGGCTCAGAGCAGTCATTTCCTAAAACAAGCTAAGCAATATTGTCCTTAAGGGAAGCATCCTATCCTGCATGTAATTTCTATTAGCAAGCATCGTAATCGTACTGTAACAGATTGATATGCTACAAAAATGAAGAAAGAATATAGTTAATTCACCTACTGCTGACTTTTACCAGAGACAAAATGATATCAGAGCCCCCTTCTCTCACACCTCTAAATATTATTATTAGAAGAGAACAAAGTCMATGTAACAAAGAACAAACAAAAACCAATCAACTAACCAACAACAATAAAAAAAAAGAAAAGAAGACAAGTTTTAAAGGTTACATTGTTATTTTGTTATTATTTAACACCATAATAAAGAATTACATTATATACTTTCTATTCTAAAAAAAAGGGAGAAATGAGTGTGTGCATATATATATGTGTGTATATATACACACACACACATATACATACACACACACATATTATATATATTATATATATTATATATATATATATACACACACACATATATATATATATATGCTTATGTGTGCATGCTACAAAATACAAATGGATACACTGAGTTCAGAAGAGACCATGAGATGAAGGCAGGCAAACCAGGCACACATCCCAGCATTGTTAGCAGGTATTTCCAGGACTGGGTTCTACATACTGTAGATTAGTCGTGTATTGCCACTTCTTTGATATGAAAKTACTTGCATCTCATACTAAGGCTTCTTCTATTATGCAGCTAATGCATATTGTTATTCCTAAGTTTCAAAGTGGCTGTTCCACCCCTCCTCTGGGTAGTGGCAGCAGCCCCGACTCGTAGCACACAGTGTATGGTATTCACGCTTGCTCCTTTCTCTGTATGTGACCCAGCCCTCAACAACACTGAGGTTCCCATAGGGATTTAATGCTCTGGGCAAATACAGAGCATTCATGACTCTGCCCAGGTTAAAAGTTACAGCTGATAAATTTATATATATATATATTTCCTTTGGTCATTTCTTCCTCCTTTTGTGCATTAATACTCACCTTTTTGTTTCTGAAGAATTAGAGTGTTTGTTCCCTACTAGCCTGTACAAGGACCACAATGACTCTGCCTTTTGAGGGGGCGGGTGCTGAATAAAGGATCCCAACAGCACCAAGGTACTCGCGTTCATCCATTCACCACAGTTGAACTCCCAACACCCCTTCCTTTCCCTCTTTGCCCAGGAGACCTCCTGGCCCTGCCCAGGAGTGACTGCATAGCAGCGGAGCAGCTGTGCCTCTTGGACTCCACCTGCAACGGCACCTACAGGACCCTGGAAAGCTGTGTCCTTGCTAGAACTCGCTTCCTTCCACTAGATCACCAAAGCAGGGACAGATGTCTGCAAGCAGAGCTGGTCCTTGGAAATAGCTCTTTACTGCATTGCAAGTGTCACCGGCGCATGAGGAGACAGGAGCACTGCTTGCGCATYTTCTGGACCGTTCACTCCAGCATGACAGATGGTGAGATGATTATAAATGTATAGGTGTTAGTAAGGCTCCTCACCTGAAAACAGCTGTCAGAGGCCACTTCCTAACACTGCAGGTATCACTTAGGAACCACGTTTCCTAGTGAGGAGTTGTTGCTCTGTTTGATAAGCTCAGAARAATGATCTGCTCTGGGATTGACCCTTCAAATATACCAGGAATCGTAATAACCAAAGATAGCTACTTAAGAGATTTAAATTGAGTGCTGAAGGCAGATTCCTGTGAAAATCACCTGAGTATCTCCTTTCCATCCCTGGAAATGGACATGAGTYGATAAAACACCATGAAATTGCACCCTAACGCTGCTGCATTTCTCCAGCTTCACCAGGATGCTTCCACCTATGGGAGCACATAGGCTGCTAATGCTCAGCAGCACTGAGCCACACCACGCAAACCAACTGCAGCTAGAGGAACTCCAGTGGTAACAGGTAATGCTCCTACTGCGCAATAGCACTCTCTCCCTTCAACAGAACCGTGCTTGGCAGTTAGCTTTGAGCAAGGCAGAGCCTCCCTGAGCTTCAGCCCGAGGAAACAGTCAAGCACAAATAAGAAAGTCAGTCAAAAGCATACGCTGGTCACAGAGCAATTCTCCTACTTCATAAAACATTTTGCATCTTGCCTAGGTTATTTCAATCTGGAGACCTCCCCRTATGAGAGTCCAGCAAATGAAGAACACTGGAAGACAGATTACAATAAACTGGCAGCTCTGGTATCAGGTAGGGGTTCTAAGAGGCTACATGATATTATGCTGCCCTTTATTAACTTTTCAGGGGTTGAAATTTCTAAGGAAGAAAAATGTTTTGGGTAATGGGTTTAACRCCTTTAATCAGAAGCATGCTTTCTTTGGGTACTTGCTTACATATGGCCCCTACCTTGAACCCTTAACCCTACCCTTGTAGATACTGCCACAGTCCCAACCTCCATGAAACACGGAATAACTCACAGTGATGCATTCTCTGAAAGAAACATCCTAACATTGCCAATAAAAATAGTTCATTGCTCTGGGATTTCTTTTGTCTTTGTAGGCTCGCAGTTAGCAGCAGATGCAACAAATCCATGCCTGAAAGCAACTCATGTTTGTAATCTGAGCAAAAAATGTGTTCGCCTGCGCACAGATTATGCCTCTATCTGCACTAAGGGAGCAGGAAGTGAGGACATGTGTGATCGTCGCAAATGCCACAGAGCRCTTAGAAATTTCTTTGAGAAAGTCCCTGAGGATTTCACTAAAACAATCCTATTCTGTCCGTGTCAAGATGAACGCTGCGGGGAACGACGCCGGAAAACTATCGTACCTGACTGCTCCTTCCAGTATAACACCAAACCCAACTGCCTCTGGCTTTTGGACTCATGTTTGGAAGACCACATCTGCAAGTAGGTCTGGCAGCACAGGACATTAGCCAAAAGAGGAGAACCACATAGACAMTGATCATCTTCTTTTCCTTCCTACAGATCCCGACTGGCTGATTTCCAGCAAAACTGCCAACCTACAGACATGTCCCCAGATGGCTGCTCTCAGCACAACCATGCTGCATGTCTGCAGGCCTACATGGGCATGATTGGTAAGTGATACTCACAGGATAATTGGGATGTATGCTTACAGGTAGTAAGCTTGCAGGCACACTCCTCATGTTGTGGGAGACTGTCTTGCTCTGCTGCAGGTCATAACACTCAGTGTGCCAGTGAATGTGCCCTATCCTGATGCTAGTGCTCCTACTTGTTTGTGATGTTGTGATGTAAATTCAGTCCATGCATTTCATGAGACTTGTCACTCTGCTTAGTCCCATCCTCTGCTATTAGAGCAGCAGCACTTGCCCAATATTCTTGCACTCCTGTATGCAGCAGCTGGTACAAACTGCTATSAGTGTTTGACCCCCAGTGCCTCTTTGCTGTATGAACAAAACATTCCTGCAGCAGAAACTACATTACAAAGCTTTGCCATCACAGCAGAATCCAGTAGGATCCTTGTTAAACCTGACATTGTCTCATTGTTGAACAGTTAAAGGTTTGTGGAAGTTGTACAAGCTAGCCTCCCAGAGCCACCAAGAACAGTGTTCATAGAGATAGCTGCCAGCTGTTAGAGGGAAGGTTGTCTCAGTCCAGACATTCACTGCCAATCTGCTAATACTGCTTGTGAGTGACTTCCTGGGGGTCTGTACCACATGCATTTTGTTAAAAGGGGAGTTGTAGAGAGAGGGAACAGCTCAGCATCTAGGTAATACCTTTTGGTTTTCCAGATCTCTTTGCCTTTCTCATGATAAATGAACTCTGGCTAAATGACATAGTACAGCTGTGCAGCATTTCTCTGGCAAAAGGCTTTAGATATATTTATATGTACGTATTTGGACTAATAGTAACCAGATAAGCAGACTAATTGTAATTCTTCCATTTGGTTGAAGTAAAATCTGATTCCACTTTCCGGGGGTTTGGGACAGGCACACCTATGACACCCAACTATGTCAGTAACTTCAGTGTGGAGGTCTCCCTGTGGTGCACGTGTGAGAGCAGCGGCAACCAGAAAGAGAAGTGCGATCAGATACTCAGCATGTTTGAAAGCAATAAATGCCTTGGTGAGTTTCACAGAACAACTGACAGCTCAGCACTTAGAAGTTCAAAACCTGTTGATTTAAGAATCCTACATGGTACTTCTACATGTAGTTTTCTGTTCTTCTTAACTGTTTCCRTGATGTACTGCCCAGGCTGTGACCAGCCTGGATTTGCTCTCAGAAGTATTTCTGTATCTTTTGCCAAAATGCCTGTTCATCTCAAGCATTTGTTCCTGAAGCTATTTCCACGCAACATGCAAATGAAGGTGTTGCGATAAATAAATAGATCAACATCAGTAGAGGTTCAGATATGCTGCATCTATAGATTGCTGAGTCACAACATCAGGGCAGCAAGATTTTAAGAGGTGCTTTTTAAAATTTTTTCTCCTTTCCTATGCTTGTCTTTGACTGTCACTTACTAGGACAAGACATGTAACTCCTGACACAGCCTCTGTTTTTAAATTCAGCATTATAGCAGTGAATCCCTAATCTTGTTACATAAAACTGTGCAATCCTAAGTCTACATTTCTTTTATCTCCCTAGCATTTTAGCAAAATACTTAAATAAGATTTAAATATTTTATGTCCATAAAAGCTTCCAAAGTACATCAAATAAAGAAACCATCATCATTAAGTAAATAATTAATATTTAAATATTTTTATTGCTTCATAGAAAAGCCTTACACCCAGCTCCACAGATATACCTACAGCATAAACAGCTAACCTGAGATATTACATATCTGCTCCTTAGGAAACAGTCAGCTGACAATGTTCCACAGGGACCCCAATGTCCTCAAGCACAGTGCAAGTCTGATTCACAATCTCCTCTGGTTCTCACAAGTAAACCCACAAAGCAACAGGCCACTCACTGAGCTTTCTCTGTATCAAAAGGCAGACACATACAGACTGACCACATTTCCTGATATAGTTCCCTTAAACTTGTGTGTGCTAGACTCCAAGGTGCATGCAAGAAAAACATGTAAGACTCTTGCTTTACTTTTGTTCGTAGAAAATGCAATTTGGTCTCAAATGCACCTGAAGCAGGCAGCTCTGGAAAGACAGGAAGAACTGTTTTATTCGTCTTCCCTAAGCTTCCAAGGTGACAGCGCCAGCACATCTCTTGCTTCAGAAATGTCCCAGGTATGCATTGCTTTGTTGCCTGCACAACACACTGGGTAAAGGTGCCTAGACAGAGTATCTGCAAAAAAACAGCATCTGGAAACATGTCACTTTGGACATCAAAGGGAGGGAGCATGAGTATGCAGAACCTTGGGCCACCTCAACTTAAGCTGTTCTTTCCACAGGCAAACAAAAATTGAGACCATACGGCCTGGCCCCAGGAGCTTCCTGTGGTCTCATGCCAGTGCTCAAACTGGAGGCTTTGGAGCCAGAGGATTGCGTACGAGTGGGTCTAACTGGGATTCATTCTTACTTTACATTTCCTAGGTGGCTGAAGTGAAGACGCAGCGAGACATCTCCAAACACAGCAGTATGCCTCTGGCTTCCTCTGTATATTCTGGAGCCGCTGTTTCCTGGCCATCTCTGGCTTTGTTTCTGACCATGCTGCTCAACCCACCTTAACTTGACACAAATGGCATTTCTTGCCCCCATGTTATTAATCTTGCCCCTTGCCCAGGCATCTCCTTGTTAATTGATTCTTGGCAAACAGACAGCTTCCAGAAAGAGGCATAGAACAGCTTTCACCCAGAACCACAGTCACTGAAAACTTCCTCCCAGCTATACCTCACTTTCCCCCTGCTGTGTTTGTATTGAGAGCTGCCCGCTGGCACTTCTGCCATGTTAGCATGTTGAGGAACAATCAGCCAGGCTAATTTCCAAGGCAGTATTTAAAAACAAAAGTCTGATTTCTGCCCCCTCCCTGAACTTACACAGAATTTGCTTACTGACTGCAGTTAAAAACTGATACAGTTTGTCCTGCTGTCCAAACTTCTGGAGTTCTTCCTTGGTCAGACAGCACAGCAGAAAACTTTGCCTAAAAAACCTGWAAGTCTTCGCATTCTAGGATGGGCTGTCGCTGTAGCTGTAAACACAGCCAAAGTTCCTGTTGAACACCAGTTCTGYATTAAATTTAATTCCCTTTTCAAAAATTTCAAATACTTTTTTTTTTCTTTTTTTAGCATATGAAAAACACCATCCCAGATCAAGGATACTGTGTTCTCGTTTAAATTCTTGCTGTTTTGCCCTTGCAGTGGTAGCCACTGCCATGGCTACCAAGAGATGTGGGATGGCTTTCCATACTCAAATTCAGTGAAATTAGCCTTACCCAGCTAACCCTGACCTTTTGTCTGGCCTAAGAGTGTGCCTTTTTAGAAATGTTTTGAGAAAGTATATAGGCTCACTGTAGCTATATGCACCACATGCCCTTGAGACGTTCAGTGCAAAGACCTCAGAGAGCTGGACTTGCCTTGCGCCTCCCCATACTCATCTATCACTGCCCCACTGCCCAGTAACCGCCTCTGCTGCCAGGTTCCATTTTATGACCTGTTTATTCTGAGTRTAAAAGTGTGCACTGTGTAACTGCTCCATTTTTTTGTTGTTGTTGCATTGGCCTGTTAAAATGTGGTGTTAAAGTGAATATTGATTTCTGAGCATAGGTTAATAGTCCACAATCAATTGAAAGAGTTGCCTCATCAGTCAGCTTGCGCTTTCAGGAGAGTGAAGAATTCAGGTCCAGGCAACTCCACAGAGTTTCTCTTGCATATCCCATGAGATGCAACAAATCTGAATAATATGCACAGCTGAGCAATATTACAATCCTTAACAGAGGCAGAGCAAGTGGCTATCTCTTCAGTCTGCTTTATCTGTGCCCAGAATGACACCAACCAGATAACATGCTGTGATTCCCACTCAGATACCTTTTGACTAGAGCTTTTCCCACTGCTGCATGCATAGGAACCACTGTCCCTCTGCAGTGATATTTCAGTTTCAAATTCCAGCCTTCTCTTCCTGGACAAATAGAGCAGGAAAATCACTGCATGGAGCAGAACCACCTCTTCTATCTGGCAGAGAATTAACAACTTTCCATGCAAAGGAAACAAGGTCCTCTTAATTCAAAGGAATATGAATTTTAATGTTTCCCGTTACCTACTGAGATGTGGCTATCTGGATCAAGAGAAAGCGCTAGTTACCTCTCTTTAATGAAAACAAAGTTCATCTTACGTGAAGACTTTGAGATCTACATTTGGCCATCCTCCCCATGGCAAAACTAGAAATCTTTGTYAAGTTTCTTGATTGTAATGTAGCAAGCTCTGCCATCTTCAGAGCTTACAGGAGAGTGACAGGAAAGAAAAAAAAATGTTTTTCTTCCCCATATCCCATGCACCAGTGAGGACATCTGCAAGAATGACAGCATAGCTTTCCGTGAGCAATCTGTACTTGCCCCAGGTTTGGCATTCATCTCCCAGCCATCTGCAGTGAACTTTCCTTTCTTTCCCCCCATATTCCTCCACCAGTGCTCTCACACAGGTTGATTTTGGAAAAGTATTTATATTGTATTTATTATACACAAAATGCTAACAACAACATTTTGCCATATCAGCTTGTGTGAAGTGTGGCTCTTAATCCTTGTAATAGGATGATGCATTACAATTGCAACTTCCTGTCATGTCCTGCAGTACAAAGGAAGATGCTTTACAGTTAAACAAATCCTGCTATAGACAGAAATTAAAGCAAAACACAACATTTCAGATTTTTATCCAAATGTACTATGTGATTTTCCATGTAGATATGCAGCTTTATATACACAGTTGCTTATGATTGTTCCATCAATAACTACAAACTGTTATTCTGTGCACTCACAGATGCTCACACTAATTTGTACAAATCCTTCTTCACTTAGGCTTTTGTAACACCTGAGCTCCAAATATCACAGTTCAGCCACACAGCATACATGCATGCACAAGGGTAACTACAAAAATTGTCTTGCAATATCACTATCAGTACAATTCTGTCAACACCACAAATGATGGAAGACTGGCAGTCTTGCCCAAAGCCATCCAGAATAGTTCTTTCTATCTCTATTATGATGGAATTTAAAAGAGGAAAAAACAAACTCCACTCAGCTTYAGTGCCTCCAGAAAGTGGAATACAACATCCTGCAGAGTATCTTTGTCTAAATACAAAAATAATGTAAGTTCTGAATCCTGACACTCTTAACTTTAAGCTCCTAGCAAGCACTCAGAAAGGAGGAAATCTTTTCATTGTCATTTGTAAGTTATATATGTAAGTTATTTTTAAGAGTGTAAAATGCTGCCAAATATCACTAATAAAACTTATCTTGCAATTCTGGAAGTCTCCTGTCTTCGTTTGCATTCAGTGAAAGCTATTCTCCTATCAAAGGCCTTATGAGAATGGAATCTATGGAACAGAATTAGACAGGTACTCTTACATGCCAGTCTCAGAACAACAACTTGCACAGACATCACTCACTGTTGGGGACTTAAAGATATGACAGATTTCTGTGTTTGAAGTTCCTTAACATGGTCTAATGTAGCCTTTGTGAAGGGCATTCAGATAGTTCTTCTACAGCAGTAAGTTTCAAAATCACCATATTAGACTTTTCTTGCTTGACAGGTGGGAGAATCAATACCTATATCATGCCCACAGTCAGAAGTAAACTGATGCCAGAGGTAAGCTGCAAGAAAATTTGGAAGCTCAGGATTATGGTACCTCTTCTTCCTTAAAATCATTCCCACTTCCTCCAGCAATTGCATAAGCTTAAGTAAGGATCAAGTAACTACATTTTTCATTTTAAAAGGAGGCACACTATATCACAGTTACAGGGGAAAAAAACAAAAAAAACCACTAACCTTGGCTTCAGGCAATTCCCAGCTATAAATCCCTGCTGCTACTCCTAAAATTCACATTAAAAAATAACTTCAGACTGATGGGGCAACACCACAAGTTCAACATCCAAAAAGAATTAAGCTATCTTTTCAATACACCATACAAATTACAAGTCACCATATTTCCTAAAACAGAAGCCAATTTTACAGAATACTACATGAGGGAAAACTYGAGAGTAATTGCCGAAGAGTCTGTGCAGCAGCTCAAGCTTTTGGGCATGACAGCAGAGAAGCACAAAACCCTCCAGCACTGCTGTGGAATCACAACCAACTGCTATTCTGCAGTGGTTTCTAGCATCAAAACAGATCAGTAGCTAATCTCTTCTACCTCAGGGATTTTGTGGCTGAGCCCTTTTCAAGAGGAGGGAGGTTCTGTTGAGGTTGAGCTTGGTCTCTAATGGAAGTTCTTATAGGCGATTAGCTCTCCTCCAGGAAGTGAGTCGCTGTTTGGGTTTCTTGCAAAACCCAGGGTTAGCAGAGGTCATTGGGATACAGCACTTTCTCCAAGTGCCTTCGTGAAAATAGCCCCACATCCTTTCCATTTACAGCTGATCATCTCCATTATCCACAGGCTATGAGGAGATGATCAGCAATTGTTAAGTGCTTGAATCAGACTAATAGCTCACTGCTAATTCCCCCAGTAATATGAATCCAAATTCCTGGTAAACAAACTGACTGCTTTTCACACACAGGGATGGATGCCAAGGGTCTAATATTAGAGCTCTGGAGCTAAGGCTTTTAGAGCAATGCTATCCACTGAAAGATGTTTAATGACATTATACGAGGTACTAAATAATTAGAAAATGATGGCCTGCTTGGAATCAATGAGTTACTGCCTAATTAAGATAAAAAAAAAGAGGCTCTACTTTTTTTTAAACAAGTTTATGCTAAAATGGCAAACCTAATAAGTGGTGCAGATAACTAGGTCTTTACCTCTGGGCAGCACAAGGCAACCACTAAGCTAAATAATTCCTTAAGTGATTATTCTCTCTTCTTTCTGCCTATAGGAAAGCAGGTARGACCAATCAGATGCCATTTTCTCTTTATGCAACATTCAAAATCTTATCCTAGACAAAATCAGCTTCACCATGTGTTGAGATTCCCAAATCTACATGCTTGAAGAGTAAGATATGCAGACTGGAGCCTCTAAAAGCAATTTTGCAGAAGAATTAACTACTGAGTTTGGGAATAGGGAAGGATATTTGAGTTAATTCTATATGTAGATAAAAAACTGAGGAATGTTCTACTGATTATCTGTCTTAATTAAAACTAACTAGTAAYAAATTATTTTTCAGAAGAATTATATACCTCAGCAGCAACTGCTGATCAAAATGAAGAGTAAAATTACAGAAAAGCACTGGACTCCAAGAGCTGGAGCAACTGAAACTCCTTCTCAAAATAAAAAATAAAAATCTATACAACTATACAACACATGCACATATATTCTGTTGTACGTCTTATCCTCTTAGAACTGCTGCAGGAGACTCCAGTTTTCTTTCTCCTGCAAGAACCACCTAGGATTGCCCACTGTACCAGGGGATGTACATTCTCAGGTGGAACTAAATTGAAGACTTTGCTGTGTTCCAATCTTCGTCTTTCCAGCATGCTGCTCAGATAGGGAAGGCAGGAGTGTGTTCTCTATAATGATTTGCGTTTTAAATTATGTTCTTTCCTATTCCCAACCTTTCCTTTGCTCAAGTTTTTGGCAGTTGGTCAGGGAGAATATTTAATGGAAACATCTGGCATTGCAACACTTGCAGAGAGCCAGAATTATTATTTTTTGTTTTACATTTATGAAGAAAAAGCTGCAGGCTGTTTTATAGTGCTGGAATTGTTGTTGAAAATACATTTCCCTGGCATCCACAAGCAACTAATTTAAATTCCATTGAAATAAAAATGGTTATCCAGTTATTGTGAGACACAGAAATCATAACACATTTACTCCCYGAAAAAAAGTATTATATGATAAATAGGATGTATGAGGTTGTGATAGCAGGTGCATGGAGATGGTGACACAAGAGATACTTTGTAACCTTAAGTCACTAAATGGAGTGGAAATGTTTTGCAAAACTATTTTCATCACATATATCCTATTTTATTTGTTTTGGTTTTGTTCTTATAACACCTGACATTCAAATGGAATRATACAACAGATAATTTTTTTTCTCATGATTTATATTAAAACATCTGGCACTCCACAGTAATAAATAAACAGAGCACAGTACAATGCACATTACTCTAAGGGCACTGTTACAGCCCAACTGACCTCAAACCTACATGCCAGTTTAGATTCCACTATCAGAAATTGCTCCCTCTTCAAAAAAATTTTCAGAGCCCTCAAGAACTGTGGATCATCAGGTGTCATGAATCCTCCCTTTTACATAGGGCTAAGGAAAAATGACTTCAAAATCCCTGGCACATGAGTCAGAACTATGGCAAATATTTCCTCACAATGGATCATGTTAATATTCCATGCACCCTGGATAATTCTGTTCTCTTTGCAGCTATTACTGTTGAAGTCTCTTATGTGCTTGCAGATTCATTTACAACATGCTCAAGAAGTGTCTTTACTAAAGGAGGAGCAAAGTGTGTTGAGCTTGTCATGCTCCACTATCCTCCATTTCATTTCTTTACACTAGTCTAACACTTAAATTGTTTTCTCTTTTATCAAAGTTTGCTCCTTATGAACTATTGTTACAGGGCACTGAGCCCTTCTTCAAGAAACTGAAATTTCTTTAACCATCTACATACCATTACTTATGAAGCTTCCTAAACCAGCAGAGAAGCTTTTTAAAAATAATAATTAACTGAGGTCAATTCTGCTAAGTGGCAGTGGCTCTCAGAAGCTGGTTGTGTCAGTGGTCCCTAGGGTTCCATCATGTTTTCAGAGCAATAAAGCAGAAACTGCTCAGTCTTTCTGCAGAAATGTGAGATTCACAGCTAATTCTTCCAACTTTATCTCTGAATTTTCATT